GCGATGTGCAGGCGCAGGTGGTGTGAAAAAGCCCCCGCGCGACGTGGTGGAGGTGGTGTCCGATGGTTCTGGCCTGTGCGGAATTGCTGGTCCTGATACGGTACTCGCTGGCCTAGGCGGAAGAATCACTGACGATGTGGATGGTGCCGGTGCGAAACCGGGGGTGGGTTCATCGGAGAACTCAGCGGTCATGCCCATGGTATACGTGAACTTCATGGTATGAACCTCCCGCGATTCGGAACCGTCCGTGTCAGATCCGGAGTCGGAGTCGGTATCCTCTGCCACATGATCTGGAAGGTTGCCCGTGTGAACTTCAACGCTGTCTGCACCGTGGTGTGTAAGGCCAAAATATGGGTAGTCGTAGCACGACATGATATCGGCAAGAGACGTGGAATCTTTCAATGTAGTCACGCGTGGTGACGTATCGCAAAGGACAAGCTCAATGTTGTCTTTAGGGGTGCAAACATGTGTCTCAACCTTTGCGGAGCCGTAGAAGCTCTGGTGACAGCTGTGCAAGGCGATCTTGTTGTGGAAGGGGTTGCCTCGAATCGGGTCCAGGCCGACCCAGACCTTGTCTAAGGTGTCCAGGTCAATCGTGTAGGCGAAGTCCATCTCGTTGGCGCCCCTGTTGATACCTTCGAACTTGTCGGAGATCTTGATGGCAACACCAGGATTGAGGGGGGACCCAAAGTGCCATGGTTCTCGGTACTGGCCATGAGGCTTGAGAGGGACGTTTTCGGTGAGTGAGCTGCTGAGCCACTGGGGTACAGACCAGATGTAGACCGTGTATGGGCAATGGTTGGTGACGATAGCTCCGGCCTGAGCCAGAGCCGCGAGTGCGAGGACGGAGAAGGCTTGTCCGAGCATTGCGTTGGAAGGGTTCGGTATGAGAGATGATGCGGTCAGCAGTAGCAGTAGAAAACACTGGAGAAGGGGTTGGAGAAGAAGACGAGAGTCGGGATGGGAGGTGCAGTTTATGAGCGGTAGAAAGTATGTTTACGTGTCGTCATAACGAACACAGGAAGTTGTAACATCGCCCGTTGCTGCCATAAGTTGGAAAGATTTGGGGAGGTGCGCCGGATGCGTTGGAAAGTAGCTCATGCATTTCGTGAGATTTTCCAAGCCTATTGCTACCCTAGCTTCCTGTTAGACACCCAGAGATATCAGTGCGTAACCATTTGAAGATGCTGCAGCTGCCGTAGCCGATTCTTAGATGCTAGCAACGTGTGGAACAGTTCTTCGAGGTCCATGGTGCTTGCTCATGTGGCTGGAAGGGCGATCACGATCTCGCGAGATCGCTTTCCTGGCGCAGCAGGTCCATTTCGGGAATCGCCTTCTCCTTACCAGTATGAACTGCCACCATGTCTCGAGAAGGAGAGCACGATCAATAACCACGGTCGGTTAAAGGGAAGCCCCGGGGCCGGTATCTGGTGATCAGGAGATGAAGCGCGTCGGCGCACGGCGGTGATACTTTCCCGCCTGTGCGTGCTTTGGCACAAGGAGACTTCAGCGTCGTGTTATCACCACAGGAACGGTCGCGTAGGCCGCCATGCACGATGGGTGATCTCTTGAACTCCATGGTGGTGGTTGTATTGTGGGTTTGGGGTTGGTGTGGACAGATGCGCACGGCAAGGAAAGTCGCTTACTCAGCCCCTCACTCGCAGCTTGAAGCACTCCGGCTAGCGTCCTGGAGACCTGAGGCGCGAATGAAACACTGCAAACCTCAGCATCAGTGACAGTACAATAAGAACAGAATGGCCCCGTATACTGTTTGCGCAAATTGCGCATTCTCACACATCTCACTTCTCGCTCCTGGGTAGCATTGTCGCCGTAATAGATACTTTCAACGTCCGATTCGCGTCCAAGCCTCAACTACGCGCCGACGCGCCCCACCATCCTCCATGATTCAACAATCCTCTTGTATCGACATGCCCACCATGTCTTCCTCAATAAGGGAAGTACCCGTCCAGCTACCGAAGAGCTTCGACCGACCCGACGAGCCATGGCACCACTACATCAACGTCGATCTGATATGGTACGTCCTCGGGTACACGGTCTTCCACCCATTCGTATCATGGGTCGTGGTCCTGTGTCTGCGCGCGCAGTATACGCCTTATGAGAACATCGAGATGCGAATTGCCATGGCTTGGGCTATGCTCATGACCGTCACCGGCATCTTCGGGCTCATCAGCGACCGGATCGCATGGGGATCACCGCGCGAGGTGGACCTAGAGGAAGAGGTCATTGTCATAACGGGCGGTGTTGACGGTCTCGGCGGTCTGCTGGCAGAGACATATGGAATGCGCAATGCCAATATCGCCGTCCTAGACATGAAAGAGGTCGATGAAGATGAGGCGGAAAACAAGGGCGTGGTTTACTACAAGTGCGACGTGAGCGATGCAAAGCAGGTTGAAGCTGCCGTAGCCAAGATTGTCGACGACGTGAGTATTCCTCTGCTAGGACACCGTACTCTGCTAACGACTATAGCTCGGCGCTCCGACGATCTTGATCAACAACGCTGGTATGGTGCAGACCAAGTCAATCCTCGATTCAACCGCTGAAGATGTGGAGCGGTATGTATACTCTGAAATCCTTATTGACATCTGCTGACACCTCACCAGCACCTTCCGCGTCAACACCCTGTCTCAGTTCACCACCCTTCGTACAATCCTCCCGCACATGCTGAAGGAAGGCCGCGGCACCATCGTAACCGTTTCCTCCGTCCTCGGTCACCTCGGTGCCGCCAACCTATCCGCATACACAGCTTCGAAAGCGGCCCTCCTGGCGCTGCACCACTCGCTTCGCGCGGAGCTTGCACAAAACCCCGCCGCAAAGGACATCAAGACAATCCTCGTACAACCTGGTCAGATGGGTACAACAATGTTTGCAGGCCTCAAGACCCCAAGCAACTTCCTAGCGCCTGTTGTCACGCCAGCGGATATTGGCAAGGACATCATCAAGCTGATCGAGAGGGGTGAGAGCGGCGAGATTGCGCTTCCTTTATACTCGAAGTATATCCAGATCCTTGGTGTACTGCCTGTCGGCGTGAATCATCTTGTGCGGAAGTGGAGTGGCATGGATAAGGCTGTTGGAAAGATGGGTGAGCTGAGGCAGAGGCAGAGTCTGACGGAGAAGAAATAATGGGCTACTGATACCCACGATCTAATGACCTACATACGCGGATGGTCTCGGATTAATGTACAATACACGTTCACGGTCCATGCGCCCCAATATCGTGTGCGACTCTATTGCTTTCCATCAATCAATCCTGCAATGACACTTCCCATAGTGTTCTACTATCACGGCATGCATTTGCATCAAAGAGCTGCGCACAGCAATACACGAATCAGATCACACCAGCGTTCACATGTGAACGATGGTTTGCGGGGACCACTAGCGCCGTAGGGCTGATCTTAGCGAGCGCTCGCACATCTCGACCCTGAAATCGCGACGACGACATCATCATCACCACAAGTAAATGTAAGAATATACCGGGCTATTCTGTTTGGTCTAGCAAATTTGCATGCGACACATACTAATTGACTACCAGACTTCCTCTGCCTCAAATCAACACAATGGCCGACCAGAAAGCATCCAAGTACTACGCTGCCGAGGAGGAGGCGCAGATGAAGAAGGTATGCGCATTTCTCGCGATGAATTTTGAGTCGGTGGAAAGGCATATTGGCAAATGTTGGAGTTATCGCGAATATCGAGCTAACGACCCAATTCACAGGCGCGCAAGACAGCCCACCCCACCAAGTACCGCGAGTCGCTCGCCCCAGGAACCGTACTGATCCTCCTCTCTGGCCGCTTCCGCGGTAAGCGCGTCGTGCTCCTGCGCCAGCTCGAACAAGGCGTTCTCCTCATCACCGGCCCCTTCAAGTCCAACGGCGTCCCACTGCGTCGCGTCAACCACCGCTACGTCATCGCGACGTCCACCGTTGTCGACATCGCTGGTCTGGACGAGGAAGTCGTCGCACGCGTCAGCAAGGACGAGTACTGGGCGCGCGAGAAGAAGGACGGCAAGGGCGAGGACGACTTCTTCAAGGACGGCGAGACACCTGCTAAGAAGGAGACGGATCCTCAGCGGATAGAAGACCAGAAGAAGGTGGACAAGGCGCTTATGGCTAATATCAAGAAGACTCCTGATCTTGAGTCTTACCTGGGTGCTAGCTTCGCTTTGAGGAACAGCGATAGGCCGCATGAGATGGTCTTCTAGGCGTTGGCACGAGACCGGGGCGAGAACGAAGCAAGGACGAGACGAAAACGAGGTGGATATCTGCGGCAACGGTCCGACCGGGAACGACGGTTCGAACGAGGATGAGCACCTGGACGCTACGAGCGATACGGTACGATTTCATATGTAGATGAGATACCCATGAACCAAAATTCACAGCACCAACACTCCATTGCTCGCAACTGCAGCTCTACGATGACTGGATTACGATATTTTCTCCTTCGTGCTACCTCAATTTCAATCCTTACCTCCTGGCGTCATAAGTACTGCCTTGAGCATGCAAGGTTCTTTGGGGGCTATTTTTGATGGCCATGTGTGGCTATACACGTGGTACGTACCCCTCAATGGCAGCATGCAAGTCTACATACTACTTCTGAATTCTAGACAACCCCCTGTCACATTCCAGCTACGGTGCAGTACCCCTCCAAGAATCGACGAATGGGTGTGCGCACCAGGCACATCATGCGTCTTGATGGAGGGGTCTCGGTGATGTGCCAATGTGGCACGGCGGCTTTATTCATTGCCACATGAACTGCGATTTGGTAGTCCACTAGGCTGTGCTGCATTCTGTGGGAGATTGAGTAGACGATTGGCAGGTGTCGACAAGGCTGCGATTTTGGTGTGCTCCAGCTGCAATTCGAACGAGGCGAAGTAGCTGTGCTAGCGAAGATCCATCGCATGGGGGCTACATCCAGTATAACAGCCTTGCTCAGGTTCCCCCCGTGGGCTCTGCGACTCTCTGATCCTCGTCTCATTTTTGATCATGGCGCAACAACAAGAACAAAAGCTTCTCAAGCACTCCGAAGAACCCCAGCCAATAGCATGGAAAACAGGCTTCTGGCGCCGCCTACCCTGGGCCGGACACCTCGCCCTTATCGCTACACTAGTCGCATCCGCTTTCATGATCCAAATTCTGGTCACATCGGACGGTCAACCTATCGATTCTTGGACGTACCAACCCACCGTTTTGCTGTCGATCACGTACACGCTCGCCAATCTCGCTCTCCAATATGCCCTAACACAAGCGATCACTGTCGCTTGGTGGGTCAAAGCACTTCGAGGCGATGCGAAGGTCAGAGACCTACACCACATCTGGGCTTTCGGACATGGCGTCAAGGATATTATGTTTGCGGGTCGTTCGTTCAATATGATCGCCCTGACGGCTTTGGTCGTAACGTTGGTGCCTATCAACGGTCCTTTGCTTCAACGAGCTTCTGTCATCGAAAGCCGAACTGGTGCAATCGCCAGGAATCTGACATTGAATATCAACAATGAAACCTTCTCTGACACCACCGGTTTGATCACTGGACGTTTCCAGGAAGCTAATTCACTTGATGTCAGGTTCACCCAGAATGTGAAAGCACATAACAACCGCGATCCGATCAAAATGACCGATGCGGGATGCATTGGAACATGCAAAGGTGTCATAGCTGGGGCAGGTTACAAAATCGATTGTGCCAACGACACCTACACACCTTACAATCTGACTCTCGACCCGGTTCACGCCGAAGCGATGACATTTTCCCTCAACTTCTCATATTGGGAATGGGAAACGGCCCTCACAATCATCAATTATACATCAGCCATCAAGACTGGTGATGAGTGTGAGGGCTTTCTCACTCGGACGAACTGTACGCTCACGCCTGCCACTATCGAATATCCCTTTATCATAAGCAACAACACTATCTCTCTTGACCCAGAGAAATCTTGGAAGACTGATAGAGCGACTGCATTCCATGTGAAACACTTCATTCCGCAAGGGCCTGGTGTCAAGGGGACTTTACACGGTGGATTTTGGCTGTATTTGAACACTCTCTACTCGTCTAGCTCATTCACTAGGCACGAGGGCGTCTACCAATGGGGCTCAATGAATACTGGCACGACTGCCATGCGTTATGTGGACAACATCGGTGGAGGATGCTCGGGCAACTTCACAGATCCGACTTTCGATATCATGAGCGATGCGCGAGAACTAGCGTTTCGAGCAGCACTCTACGCAGACCATATTCCGGAAACCACGTTCCAAGTTGAAGTGCAGCAGGAATGGGCGAAGATCATATACAGGAGTCACTACATCTATCTCGCCTTCGCCGTAGCTATCACCTTAATAGCAACTCTATGCGTTTTCAGCATATCTCTGGGATGGTGGCACCTCGGCAGGGAAGTTTCGCTGTCACCAATCGAAGTCGCGAAGGCGTTCGCTGCGCCAGTGCTACAGAACGCAAGCTCGAATGCGGAGGTAGAGGCACTAGTCAAAGAGATTGGTTCAAGACGAGTCAGATATGGAGCTACATGGAACGATGAAAATGACATCGAAGAGACACAGCCTAACCTGCGATTTGAGGAGCCTGGGGAGTGCGAAAAGCCGCAGAATGGCCAGGTTTTCGGTCATTGAGCTGGTGATAATTTGGGTTACGTTATTCATGGCTCAATCAAGATCGCGGGCTTGTGTTATCGGTTGCTGGTTGCACCTGCTTTGGAAGAGAGTGTAATGGCGTCATCATGGGCCGAGGGCAAGGCTGTGACTTCCTTCTAACGCGTATCTGCTGCTACTTCGCGATCACTTCATCCAGTGAACCCCGTTTCCTTGGCGATGAGATGAAATCATTCCATGTGGATACCATCAGGCCATGCGATAAGGTAGTGACAACGCCACAGCATGACCTCACTCTCGTGCCAGCTAAATGTCAGCCACACTCAACTTCGACATACACTCTATTATACCTTTACCTACGCACTCTTTCGCCGACTAACAACGGTCCGATGCGTCCCCTTCAGGAACTGGCCCAGGACGCCAGTGGCCACGCCAGTCCCAGTAATCACGAAACAAGCGGTTCTTTCAGTGGCACTACTCGTAGTGTTGTGTCTGATGATAGCGCACAAGATGTACGTGACTGCCTCAACGTGGAAAGAGCCGCAGCTAACAACATATGACAGGAGAAGCTCGTACAGTTTCTGGCATCATCCACCCTTGATGAGACCAGTACTAGCAGTTTGCTCAAAACGTTCTGTAGGGACATGGAACAGCCGGTGTATTCATCACTAGGGGGCCGATGTAGTTTCGCCTTGCCTCGTCTCGTTCTCGAATACTGACATGAGCCAGACAAGTATCGATCCGCTGATGGAAGCAACAACAACATCCACCTGCCTAACGTCGGTAAGGCTGGTTCTTACTACGCGCGCATGGTCACCCCAAGACATATACCTACAAAGCTTCCCGATCCAGAACTGCTCTTCGATACACTGCTCGCGCGAGAAAACAAGCCAAAGCCACACCCCAGCCAACTATCGAGTCTGTTCTTTGCCTTCGCGGCTGTCATGGTATGCGATGTGTTTCGTACAGGCGACGAAGATAACGATGTGGCCATGACATCTTCATACCTGGACCTATCGTCACTATACGGGGAGTCCGAGGAAGCACAGAGCTCGGTCCGTACTTTCGTCGATGGGAAGTTGAAGCCTGATGCATTCGCTGATACAAGGATCCTCAGCCGGCCCGCAGCGGTAAGTCATGAGCTCTAGTTTGTTGTGTAATTGCTCATCTTTGGCAGTCCTCTGCCCTGATCGTATGCTTTTCGCGGTTTCACAACATTGTTGTCGAGCAACTGGCCATCATCAATGAGAACGGTCGATTCAGCCCTCCCTGCAACGCGGCTGGAATTGACACTGGGTTTTACAAGCGAGCTCTCAGCAAGCGCGATAACGACCTCTTCCAGACTGCACGGCTGGTAACGACCGGATTATACATCAACATTGTCCTGAAAGACTACGTGCGCACGATCCTCAACCTACAGTGCGTAGATTCATCGGTGACCTTGGATCCGCGAGCAAAAATAGAGGGTATTATCGGGCAGACAGACTTTGATAAGGCCCGCGGCAACCAGACAAGCGCCGAGATCAACATGATCTATCGGTGGCATTCGACCATATCGAAGAAGGACGAGGACTGGCTCACAGAACACATGTCTATGATATGTCCAGATATGAAGATTGGCCATCTGACATTAGAAGACATGCGAGCTGGCATGCGTCGACATGCTGCTATACCGCCTGCGGATCCTGGTCGGCGTGTCTTCGCTGGTCTCGAAAGGAAGAACGACGGCTACTTTCGCGATGAGGATATCGTTCAGATACTCACAGAAGCCACGGATGAAGTTGCCATGAGCTTCGGCCCACATCGGGTTCCTCTGGCGTTGAAGGTGATCGAAGTGATGAGTATTGAGCAAGGCCGGCAATGGGGCGTAGCTTCTCTCAATGAGACCAGACGATTCTTCGGGATGACGTCTCACACCTCGTTCAGCGATATTCACTCCGACCCTGACGTCGCTGCCGCGCTCGAAGTCTTGTACGAAGATGTTGAGAACGTTGAGCTATATGCCGGAACTATTCTGGAAGAGCCAACTGCCCCGATGACTCCGGGATCAGGTCTGTGTGCAGGAACGACGGCGACCAGAGCAGTGGTGTCACATGCGCTCTCTCTTATTCGGGGTGATCGATTCTACACCGTGGACTACACCCCGCACCACCTGACAGCTTTTGGGTTCAACGCAGCTTCCAGCGAATACTCAATCGATGGCGGAGGTGTCATGTACAAGCTACTGATGAGAGTCTTTCCCGAATACTATCGTGGCAACTCGATTTACGCGCACTACCCGCTGACCACGCCTGTGGAGATGAGACGACGACAGAAGTCTCTCGGGCACGAGACAGATTTCTGCTATGAGAAGCCGCGCTACGGGTCGCCTCCCACAGTCATCACTGATTACAAGATGATCCTCCGCATTCTTCGTGACCAGACTCTGTACACGACAGCTTGGACTCATACCTTGCGGCAATTGGAGTATCAACCACACGTTCTGCTTGGTCATACCATAGCTGCCATCAAACAGCAAGACATTATTCGGCAAGCTATACTCGGCCCAGAGGAGTCTGTAGAAATCTTTGCGCACTTCCTCAACCTGAAGACCACCCAGCTCGTGCAGAACAACAGCAAGTGGCTTTTCAAAGTTGCCGAGATAGACGCAATCAAAGACGTGGCAGCTCGCAGCTGGACACAGTTTGCGGCATGTCTGTTTAACATCCCGGTCAATGACTCGCAAGATTCAACGGCCAGCTTTGATGACAAGCAGCTCTTCAGCAAAATGATAGCAGTATTTCACTTTGTTCATCTAGACAACAACCCTGCGAAGTCTGCCGCACTCCGGAGGGATGCAATCACTGCAAGCGAAGAAATGTCGAAAGAGGTCAGGGTTGTTTGCGAAGGAATGAAAGCATCACCCGTTGTGCAGTTTCCGGATCCCCGCAAGCGACGACATGCGAAGCGCAATCTCATGCCAGACCATGGAGCCAAAGTGATGCAACGGCTTTTCGACAATGGGGCAAAGGTCAAAGAAGTTGTCTCTCTGGTGGTCATACTTGCCGTTGATCTTGTCGTGTTCAGCACCTTTGCCGTAAGCCTAGAAGTCGCTTCATGCATACACCCCTGCTGATCATTACTAGTTCTGCCAAGTCATCGATCTCTTCCTCTCGGAACCTTACCATTCTACGCACTGGCCGGACATCCAAAAACTGGCGAAAGACATCACACCAGCAAACTCCGAGGTACTGCGCGCATACGTGCTTGAGGCTCTGCGCCTTATCACACCCGCAACTGGCTTCCTCCGCATCCCTAACACCTTTCTCACTACTAGCGACTGGCGGCACGCAGAGGGTATAAACAAGGGTGACGACCTGATCCTCGACGTGGCAACCGCATCTCGCGACCCCGCTGTCTTTCCTGACCCCGACAACATCAACCTCGACCGTCCACACGAGCTATATCTACCATTCATCGACGGGCTACACGGAGCACTGACCAGGCCTATCATCGTTGCTGGTTTAGTCACCCAGTTGCGTATCTTTGCTCGGATGGAAGGTCTCAGAAAGGGGCCAGGTACGCAAGAAACGTTGAGGCGGGAGGTTCAAGAGGGTACTGTGAGCTTTTTGAGCGAGGCTAAAGATGAGTGGGTGCCACTGCCAGTCAGTAAGTACAGGTTCGCTACATGAACTGTTCGTGGGCATTCTAATCATCTGGAATAGGCATGCGAGTGCACTACGATACCTTCGACCCTACTGCATGCGCGACCTTGGCATGATGAGTACTATCATGATGAGTACTATGATGGACATCATTTGATTGAAAGAATGATAGAGACGCCACACCTCCAACCAAACGAGTTACATAGTAGTCTCAAAGATGTATCCTTAGTCTCCTACTACTTTACCTCCGCTTTTCTTCACATTTGAATCCCGCGACTCGTTCCACATTGGTCGTACATTCACTCTAATTCCTTTAGCCCCGCATCTAAGTATTGGGATTGAACCAATTGCCATGCCTAAAATAAGACTCGTAGTAGTAGTACTCGTGACGATTCTCGTAATTAAATGCGCATAATGTTCCACAGCTACATCTCGGAGGCCTATTGGAGGATTAGTAAACGTCTGACACAAATCATAGGTACCTTGTTACTCACAGTTCCTCATCCGGGGTATCAAGAATGACTTTCAACGCCGCTTCCTGGTCGTGATGGCGCTGGCCCTTGAAGATCGCCTCCCACTTCCCTTTCGTGACCGTCTTCACAGCACCGGTCAACGTCACCGTTAATCTCTCCCCCAAGCTCTCTTCCTTGCACTTGTTAATCAGGAAGGGATATGCGAAGGTACAAATCCAGTCTACTATCGTACGCTGACAGCAAATGTAATCTTCTCCTCCATATCGAGGCAGTCGATGTTTATCGGGTCTACAGCCCCAGGGGCTGCCCTGGTAGCCGTCATATGGTGTCCGAAAGCGGAGATGTAAGTCACGGAGGTTGTCAAGCTTTTGAAGACAAGAACCCATTGACTCAGAAGCGGTAATCCCGATCGGAGAATAAAGCAGACTGACGCCGAAGAACTCAAACCACTCCACGTTCGTGAAGTTCAACTCGATCTTACTCAGATGCAGGTAAGCCATCGCTGGACCCGCCCACGCTTTAATGGCTAGGACGAACAGGTCTGGTGTGAAGAACCGGCTACGCATTCGTACCCAGGCGAAATGGAGGAACTCGTTGCGAATCGTGGAGTTTACCGCCGAAAGCGAGAGACTCGGTTTGTGCACAGGAGGTCGATCTTCCGGCACACGGTTTTCATCCCATGGGGACGCCAACAATGCCTCACCCTTTAGACGCATGAACAAACCGGGGTGATAGCCCAGCCCCAGCGTTAGCTGAGCTTCACATCCGGGCTCTCCATCGGGCCAGAAGCAGGTGTACTCTTCAGCGGTGCACAAACTGTTCAGCGGGTATACTTCACCACCAAGCGCGGCCTTGTAAATCTTCTCTCGGATCTCAGCCGGAAAGTCCTCGAAGCGACGTTTACTGCCCTTGCCCTTGTACCACTTGAACTGCAAGTGATAGCCAAGGCGACCGAGCCATTCGCGCGACTTGACACTCTTCGCGAGCCAGCCATCGAAAGACACCCACTCCTTCTTGTATGTCTCGTAGATGTGGATAGTCTCGGCAGATGGCGACGAGCCGCTCGGCAAAATGGTAACCCACTTCGCCTGTTTCACACTATCCTTCTCAACGATTTCGAAGTAGTAAGACTTGATATCGAAGAGATTCATGTAAGGCGGCCAAAGCGGAGGCGCGTCGTTCACAGGCCGGATGTTGACTCGCAGAGCGAAAGCAGCGAAATTGCGCTTCTTCGGCCTGTTCATCGTGTGGTACATCTCGGCGAGAACGGGGTCGTTGAAGTGCCATCCTTTGTTGAACTCGTACGTGGTTTCGTCGGTGAAGCGGCCGACTTGCCCTTCTCGTGGACATTGCATCATCTCGAGCGCGCAGGTGATCTTGTCGTTGCGCGCGTCGGGCAGGACGCGGTTGTACTTGCGAGGGCGCTTTGCGAGATCGTCATCGGCTGGAGGATCAAAGATTGCTAGGCGACTTAGGAGGAAGGTTGGTGCTGCTGCGTTGAGCTTTGAGGACTTGACGGGCACGAAGGCGGGTGCTGTGGCGGTAAGCTTGGAGCTCGTTGCGATACCAGTGGTTCCGAGGAAGTTGTCATGGTTGAACCGTTGGGTGGCGGAGCCGAAAGTATCCGCGTTCGAAGGAGCGATCTCGCGCTCGTACTGCCAGCGGTCGTAGGAGGGATCAAGTAGGTCAGAGGGGATCACCTCGAAGCCGCTCGAGTGTTGTTGAACGGGATAACCGTGATAGCCGACGGGCGAATGCACATGGTAACCCCAATACTGATATGGTACGAACAACGGTATCCGAGGAAGAGTAGGACGAGCTATGTCGTGTTCGGTACCTGACTGCGAGTGGTAGTCAGGGTCGGAAGGCTCCGCGGAGAGACCAGAAGCAGCCATTCCGGACATCGTGTTGGAGTTGAGGAAGCTGATGGGCCTTGTAATTGAGTGTTCTGATAGACAAGGGCTTGATAGATCCGGGCATATGCACAGGGAGGTGATACTAGCGCCAAACAATAAAGACGGTCTGTGCATTTTGCTGTAGGCAGTAGTAATAGGGAATGGAGTAGCGTATACAGAGGCTTCACTTTGCTTTCTCTGGTTTCTTTCGTATTAGTTGGGCTACTAAACAACCAGAACGGCTGGTCAAAATACCTGGTGTATTAGATCGTGGCAACAAAACTTCTGCAAGGCTACCTACACGCGATGTTGAAGGCGTCTTTGAAGCCTGTGAGTCTCTCAGGGCGCAATAGAGCATGATGAAGTAAGTCGTTGATATGTTTATGGTCTTGAAAGCTATCTTCGATTCCAATGTGGCGAACACGTAAGTGAGTTTCTTGTTCATACTCGTCTTGTTTGATGTGTGCAGATTGCGATCTTAGTCTCTAAAGCTTCACTCATTCTTCGTCCAGTGAAGAAGCATGATCGATTACGACACCTTCTATCAGAATTCCAATGGCTATTCGCGTTTGACAATATCTGGTGTACTCCTCCGGTCATTTATCAACGCAATCCCGCTTTGCGACGGGCCTGTTGGACTGGATGCCTCGGTCTTCCGAGATACGGATGACATGATCCTAGTCTTGGCTCGCTCAAGAAGCATCGTCCTATTCCTCGCAGTCAAAATCGTCGGGCGGAGGTAATTTGTTCGATGGAAAGTCGGAAATGTAACGGTTACCGTGTCTAGTCTTGCAAGGCGTGCGACAAAAGCATGGAGGTGGGCTATCCATATTGTTAGCAAGTAATCAGTGTGGGAAGCTTCTTAAAGATGAGTAGATACTTACATATCTGCTGATGGGGTATCCAGAATGGCCGCCTGCTCAGCAGCGTGGTCCATTACGCCATCCTTGTCCCTTGCAGGCAACGCGAGGAGTTCATTCCATTTGTCCTTTGTGTCCTTTTTCAGGATCCCACCCAGTCTCACCTTTGGCAGATCCTTTACAAATGGCCAAGCGAATGTCATGATCCAGTCGACCATTGTACGCTGACAACAGACAAAGCTGACCATTATTGACTTATCGACATGACGCATCCCATAAGGATAGTAAGCGGCTCCGTCGTCTGGGCTTCGAAACCAAAGCTGAAGACTTGACAGTCCATCCAATGTAGGGAGTATAGGTCCAAGAGACACACCGTTATTCATACTAATGTTGTCACGAAATCCGACGCCGAAGAAACTGAACCAATCGGACATCGTGAAGTCGAGAATGAGATGATTGAGCCAGTTATAGTTCGGTTTGGTACCCGCCTCAAGAACTGATCTGAGCTGAATCGGTGAGAAGAAGCACTTTCGGGTGTCCTCCCAGCCAGCTTGAAGAGCCTCACTATAGGTCTGTCTGTTTATAGACAAGAGGGCAAGATTGGGCTCGTAAGCGGAGCACCCTGTAACTGTGTGCTCACGTCCATACAGCCGTGAGGGGTGGCGCTGATCGATTTGACTGCTGTCATGCCAACTGCGGAAACCCAGGCCGAGACAAACCTCAGCGTCCTTGGATTTAGTCAAAGGATAAATTCGAGGACCGAGAGCAAACTCGAAAATCTTCATGCGCATCTCCGTTGGAAGGTCGGCGAGCCGGAAGTGCTTCCCATTGAGCTCCCAACATATGCGCTGCGCCCTGTAGCCCCTCTCGCCAACCAAGTCTTCAGCTGGCGTCTGGCTGGAGAGCAGCCAGTCTTTTAACAAGATCCATTCTGTACCGATCTTTAAGTGTAGATTATCCTCTGTCGGACCGGGCATTACTGGGGAAAAGGTTGCCCAAGCGGTGAGGGGAAACTCATTGAATCTATCCATAAAGGTATACAGCTTGCTGCAGTACGTGGTGTAATCGGGCAAAACCAGCCAGAACGGTGGTGAATTGTTGGTAGGTTCTACTCGGAAATGCATGTCTGCGACGCCGATGTGGTCCGCTTCCATGTCGCGAATAAGAAGTGTAATGTACCACATGACTGCGTCGTTCTGGCGAGGAGCTGGTTCGAAGTTGTACGTGTACTTGTTCGGTCCGTAGTTGAGCGATGGTAGTTTATCGAAGGGTGGCGGACAGTATCGTAAGCTGTTGAAGCGGTTGATGGACTCTCCTTTTCCACTATCCGCTATCACCATGCGTTCCAGAGCGAGTATTCGGGTCTCCAAGTCAGGTATTTCTGACGACATTGTTGGTAGCGTTCGTATGTGGAGGTTGAGGTAGAGGTAGAGGTTGAGGTTGAGGACAAAGATGCTAGTAATGCTGATCCGTGATGCGGGCGCAAGTATTGACAAAAGGAGGGAGGAGTTGGCGAATAAATAGTCCAGTCAGCGCTAAAAGTGAATAAGTCAGCAGGCTCCAAGCAGAGAATCATGTCAAGAGAAGGTGTTGGAAGCCGGAGCTCCTAATGCGGTCAGTGCGCCCATTCTCGCTCGAAGCGCATGATGGAAGTTGCAGGCGCAACCGCCGAGGTTTCCTGACCCTTTTCGTTGAAATGCTTTTTCGTATAGGTATAGTATAGGTCACTCAGATTGCGACTGGATCGGTGATCTCTGAGAGGAAGACCATGTTATCGTCTCTGGATTGAGTCGACCAGCCATGATGCAGGCGAGCACACTGAGCAACGCACCGCCAAGGCTACAAAGAACAACAATTAGATTGGTCAAGAACGGACGGTGCTCAAGCGGTACGGCAGATGGAGACAAACCCAACCCCCAGAAACGCCTCGCTATACCGATACTCCAAGACTAATTGAGCTGCCTTGCACTATACTCACCACAACAGATAAGCGCCAACGAACAATGAAGCTATGGAAAGCCCTTGACTTCTCAAAATATGTGCCGCGCTGGTACCCTCTGTGCCACAGCACGACTGCTCATTGTACGTGACGTTATTGGCCGTCGCAGCAACCTGGAAGACAGAGCCATTAAAGTTGCCGTAGTTGTAGTAGTCGACGAGTATCCAATTCGGCGGACGAGTCCACATTTTTTCGCAGTTTTGTACGTTAAGACCAACGCTGCCGTTTCCGGACACAGCATTGATCTCATCGAGAAGGGAGTATGCCGGTATGAGGATGCTGCTTACACCCGGGAGGCTGACTTCGATGTTCAGGTTGTGGTTCATCACGTACATGCGCTCGCGTGAGACTTCTTCTGGCTGATTTGGGGGTCGTTGCTCCGTACAGGGGAACGCGGGATCGGTTGGCGAAAAGGGGGTTTGCCACTGGTAGTTGAATTCGCTGAGCAGCCACGGGACTTGTTCCTGGTCTGCACCATAGTCCAACATCACCACGACACGCTTAGTCCTAATAATCATCTCGGCCAATGTGGGCCAGTCCGTCAGGTTCAGACTAGCCGAAGGCGGTGTCCATACGTATTCCATAATTCCTGAGTTTTGAAAAGGTGCGATATAGTCTGTCGCTGGGTTTCGGGTATCCTGACCGTTGTTGTTGCCCATCATGATAGCAATGACTTCGAACGGGTTCTGGTCGAGCCAGCCTTTGACTGTTGCGAGGTATGATTCGAGGGTGCCCACGTCGAGCAGGCTGCAGGAGGTATGGCAGAGGCGTATAGCGGAGGTCTCGTTGGGTTTTTGGGTCTCGAATTGCACTGTTGTTGGATGTCAGCCAGAGGTTTCTAGTATCGTGTATGATGCGCTTACACCCTCGAATTCCATCATTGAGCTGATTAAGCACTGGGTAGTCTTGGTTGCTGGCTGCGTTGTGTGGCCTCACGAATGGGCTGTTATGTGCGACGACCATAGAGATGTTGGAAAACCTCCTCTGGCAAAACTCGACGTATCCATTGCATGGCTGAGTATTAGTCGGGCTTGGACGAGCAGATGTCGTGGTCGTTGAAGCAGTGCCGTTTGAGGATTCGGTCGAAGGAGACAGCCCGACTATGGCTGTCACCTCTTGTGTTGTCGTCGACGATGTAGCGGTGGCATTCTGCCGTCCGGAGGTGAATGTGCTTAGGACAATGCCCGGGAGACCGCTCGAGAAGTCGGCGGAGTAGGTGCTCGTAAAGGTACTGGAGACATCGACGATCGTTTCCGTAGAACTGCTAGGTATAGGCGTATCTGGTGCGGAGGAGGGAGAAGACTGTGCGGTTATAGGTATCGGAAGTAGGGCCAAAGGGAAGAAAAACAATGTAGGAATCATGAGGGCGATGCGATACGAAAGAATGACGAAGTACTAGTTAGCAAATGTTATGCAATGTCGGCATACAACTGATGCTATGCGCTGCACTTATCGAGAGACGAGGTCAAGACAGTCTGCCTCACCAGCACTACGTTGATGGTGCACCTTAGCTGACATTCGCCGGAAAGCACGATGACGGCATTGCTCGCCTCGAACGCCATCACACGTTGTGTCGGATCTACGCGGGGAAGGCTGAATGCGACCATCTCGAAGACCTATCCGTCCTGGGGAACGCCTTTCGCGTTAATCGGAGATTTATGGGTCCAATAGTAGCCACGCAATGGTTTGACGTAGTAGACATTGACTGCAGTAGGGCTGGCGTTGGCAGCAATAGTGCTTGTGGCGGTTTTGGCGTACGCAGGTCTCAAGAGCCGCGTCGTGAGGCATTCTGACGCGTCATTAGCCTCCAAGACTGCGAGTCACGACCGATAGGAACATTGAACGTTGAAAAGAGTGCTGAATGCTGATTTCGCTGTGGGCGTGTAGAGAAAGGCTGGGGTTGCGTACGCGACATGGAAGACGCCCAGCCTCGCGTGACACGCTAACCGCTCCAGGGCTTAAGCTTCAGGGACTGAGGGTCAAGCCTCACGGAGGTCCACCCCAAATGCTTCAGCCCATGAATGCGAGCTTTGGGCCGATTAGGCACACTACTTCCCTCAGAACTCTCGTCGCCTTTCTGCTCTCTAATGTGTTGTTTCCTTATCTCCGGAGCACGACTCCTGTAACTGGAGGCATTTGGAGGGCTCGTTCTAGCCTCAACAACAAAGAGCATGTCGGCTGAGCCTAATGACTACTTTGACATTGGAGACACCGAAATGGACTTTTAAACCGGAAAGTAGTCAGTATTGATTGTCACATAGAAGTCATGCTTCTTCCCGTCACCATTCTACTGATCCCAACAGCCGTAACATCGACGCAGGTCCACCTCACATCCGGATTCGCCGCAAACCTCCATCTATCATCTGATCAACGAAGAAGGCAATGCGCCTTGAACTCACACTAGAAGCCTGGACTTAGTTCAGGCAATCTCTCACACAAACACCCTCTTAACCCCAACCTTAACACAACTCGGCGGATCTAGCAAAAGCAGTCAGCACAGTCCCACCACCCCAAGATCAACATCTACCGGAAAACAAAAAAGCACCAAACTTACCAGGTTTCCCAACCCCCGTCCCCCACACCAAAGTGTGCCTAACATACCCCGTCCCATAGTACGTGAAGCAGACCCACCAGCGATAATATCCCGTCCACTCCCCCATTTCCGGTTTCTCCGCCCCCCAAGTAATCGGATTCTGGAAATTCAGTACGTCGTTGTTGTCAAAGGAGAGGCTGCCGTCGCCACTGTAGGTCATGGCGAGTTGGGCAATGGATAGGGGAACGATGTCTTGGGGTTGGAGGAGCACAGAGAGGTCGATGGGGTAGGGGTCGTAGGGGATGGTCCAGGAGAGGATGCCTTGGGTGCCGAAGGTCTGGGTGGGATGTTAGTGGGTGCGAGGAATGGGTGCTGTGGGTTTCTTTTGGTGGGTGATAGGGCTGATGGGGAAAGCAGGATAGATGTGTATGGGAGACGTACGTTTGTGATGGCAGTGTCGGTTGTGTTGTGGGTCAGGACAACGGGATACTGCGCCCCTTCTTCTGAAAGCGTGGGGCAAAGCGTGAAAATTGCTGCACCTGCATGGCATGCAGATAGCGTTTTGCCGTTCAGGGAAGGATCTTCAGATATGAGGACGAGGTTGAAGGGGTCAGATTGTATGGTGTAGATGGGTTCACAATCGTATTCGCAATCAGCGTCAGCGTAAGTGAGAGCTGCGAAAGCAAGAAGGATAGGAACAAGTTTGAACATGGCGGCGGTAATCTGTACGGTGCGTACAGGTGCAGACGGAGTCAGAAAAGCTAGGGAGAAAGGACGCTGGCTTATAGATATCTATAGAGGCGGCCTTCGATCACATCACGATGACTGGCACCTGTCAGAACGTACACGTAGAACGGATTGCGCATGTCAAAAGAGTGTCATTATCTATTAGCATTAATTGCGTAGCACGTCAAGTCGTAAATCCCGATTGGGCTTTCCTCCATCTCCCCTCTTCTCATCCAACCATTACGGGAACAGATTCTTCCATCACAATTTTTCGCTCTAGACAAACACCCTCGTCACGTTGACAGAGACACAGGTTGGGTTGTCTGGCTTGCCCGCGCCCAATCCCCATGCCAGGTTGTTGTACCTGTAGCTGGCATAGTCTGTGTCGCAAGCAAACCAGCGGTAGAATTCCTGGTAGTTGCCTGTGTTGTTCTCGCCGCGGACGTAGCCCTGATACGTAAGTTCGTCCTGGGAGTCGAAAGCCAGCATAGTCGTATCGCTTCCGCTTCCGGGACTGAGAGTGATGCCTGCAAGGTTGGAAGTTGGGTCGAGGTTAAATGCTGCTGATGAGGGAATGTCGAGCGTGGTGGTGTTCAACCACCAGGTCAAGATGCCTGGTACGCCGAAGCCGTCCTCTGGTGCTTGAGAGTAGACGGATGTGTTGAATTGGAATTGTGCGCCGTCGAGAGGTTCTGGGCTGTCACCTACGCCAGCGTTGCTGAGGCAGAGTGATTCGATGGCTGCACCGACGTGACAGGCGCTCAGCGTGTCATTGACCTTTCCGTCTTCGGATGTGACGACTAGGAAGAATGGTGCAGAGCTGATGTTGTAGAACGGATCCTGTGCGCTCGTAACGGCAGCTGCTGCAAGGGTGAGGGCGATGGATGAAGTCTTCATTTTGAATGATGCTAGTTGAGGTTGTAGGTGGTCGATGCGATGATAGAATTTCTGAGGTATGCTAGGCGTTGATCGAGTATGTAGGAGCTGATGAGTGCAGTTTACCAGCAACGGCACGGTCGAGCTTTATACTCACGATCATCCTTCGTAGTCGCCGTATTCGCGCAGCCTCATCGCAGCTCCCTCCAAAGGTTCCACCTGCACAGCAGTCATGTGTTCCACCATAACGGGCCCCAGCCAGCCCATGACGTTCCGCTACCCGTTAGCTTTGGCCGCCTTGCCACACCCACGATGATCCTTTCCAGTCGGCTGCGTTCGCTCCGTATGCAGGACCGCACGGCATGCCCGATGAGGGTCAGCGCAACTCAATCAGGGCAGTTATAGATCAACCCCGCGCGTTAGCGAGAGAAGCTTTCCCCAGCCTGCCGGATAAGTCTTGCATAAGTGCCACAAGTGCCACAGCCGCACAGGGCCTCAGGGTGCATGTAGCGTGAGGATCAGCTGTCAATACGAGGGTCAAATCGATAGCTCAGTACCGAACCTGCAGGTGAAAAAAGTAAAGGTGCGGCGAAAAAGCTGTGTTCGTGAGCGTGAGCAATATGAGAGGCATCATAAGCACTGCTTTGGAAGGCTGATTAAGCCTGGTACGAGGTCGTCTATGACAATGCTCGCGATGTGCTGATGCATTCAATATTGTGTTAATTGTGCACCCTCGTACGATGAAGATGATGGTGGAGAGTGTTGCTCTCCTCAATGACGCAAGGGTTCAGGCCGGTTGTAAGCCGGAGTTACCCTGTTAGCGTCAAAGCTTATCGATTCTAAACTCGCCGGAGGTGTGACATCGTCTACGGCTTCAGATTTACGCCCTCACACCAACTACGAGATGAATGGCTATGATCGGGATACTACCTTCGCGATGGTCGCCTTGTTCACTACGCTTCCGCCAGCACCTTCCGCATACGAAACTGACAGGTCGCGACACCTAATAATATACAGAGCGCCGGACGCGTAGAATACTAAGAACAGAGCTACGAAGCCATTCTCGAGCCACCGTTGCAACTCTATACTCCTAGGGTGAGGTAAGAGCTTACGATTACATACTACAAACCGTATGTATGCTTGAGGACCTTATTCCATCGACATCAGAGCGCTCACTGACGACACGCGCAGTATCGCAATAGCCCTTTCGATCAACTATGATGCAACCACTGGACACCCACTCCCCGCATACGCGCAACACGTAGCTTCGTCATATAACCAACTCCGGCAGCCGATAAGCCACCACACTAGCGATGTCTTGCTCCGCCATCATATCCACTGGCACCCAGCGCAGTGACCGGCTCGTCGTCAGCATGTGCGCTCCTCCTCTCGGCCGAGTCCCGCGATACACCCTCATAAGCAGGTTTTGCTTGCGTCCAGTACCAACAGGCCCATGTGATCCAGCAGAAGATGACATCGAATCCCACGCTGCTCACTGCTGGGTGTTCTAGCAGAGCACTTTGTATTCCCACAAAACCGCCATAGGCATACGCTGTTGCGGTAGTCCATGCCAACATCAGTCCGGCATTCCCTAGAACCAGTGCCCACATGTAGCTGTAGACCTTGTCGGTGAATTGGATATCCTCGGTGAAGGATGAGGCCGGTACAACAGCGCGTGCAATGGGCAAGAGCATCAAAGCGATGTGTGGAGCCATGAGCACCGGCATGAAGTGTGTAGGGTGATGCCAGTAGTGTTCGTCTGCTAGTTGCATCGCGGGATAAGCAGTTGCGAATATGGCGAAAAGGTTTAGGAGCCATGGACCTAGCCACGTTTGCCGGCGCGAACCATATGCCGATGGAGCTGGTGCCGGCGGGCTCAATAGTAAGGTGAGCATGAAGAGGTTTGTAGCAAAACTGATGGCCACAATCTGGCCAAGCAGCATGAATGCCCAAGTATATCGAATGCCACGGCGTATTCCTAGATATGTTAGTCATGGTTGTCAAGTAACAAGTATAAGCTTCTACCTTTCTGCTCCAGATACAACCCCAGACCCAGTGCAAAGAAGAAGATCTGGTGCGACCACCAGTACCTCGCATATCCTATTATGACAGTCTCCCATGCCTCTCGAAATAATGAAGTTTCTTTCAACCACAATCCCCAGTGATTCTGGTCAGGTTCAAGCTCGTAGTAGCTACGCCACATCAGCCAAGACTGATAGCTGACCTTGAAGTACTGGAACATGTGCGTCCATGTGGTGAGCAAGCTGCCCACGGCAAGTGCACTGAACAGCCAGACATGTCTTCTTGGTGGGAGCTGTGCGGTAGTTGACTTTCGCAGCACGCTAGCTCTTTTGACGAGCCTCAGGATGATGAAAACCGCGACAGAGAAGCATGTCAACAGATAGGAGAAGAAGATGGCATAGGGCCGGGTGTTGGTATCGGACCCTTCTGGGGGCGGTTCGCGATGCATGGAGCGGTGCGGGACAGAGTATCCAGGCGGCCCGAATCCTGGAGGGGCCATCGTGAGACGATTTTCGGGGTTTGTTGGGCAGCCATCACGTACAGTATGCTCTCCAGCCTTTATGGTGCCGTCGACAGTGACGAAACGTGTCAAGTGCGGATCAAAGGGCTCTTCTGCTTTGCCGGCAATGTGTATTGATTAACGGCTATCTTGGGACTGAGCTCCTAGGATGCGGCCGCGGTCGGTTGTTGCGCCAATGATGGCGTGGCTGACGCAGGGATGGCCAACCTCCGCAACACGTGCCCAGGTGCCTCGGTGCCAAGGCGCCAGTGAGATCGTCATGTTTTCCCAGGTCCGTCGCGGTCTCGTCTTCGAAGATTCTCGTCCCTTGTTTTGCTTCAAGTAGCTCTCTTCCCCTGTGCTAACCTTCGCTGTTGCTTTCTCGCACATTCTCCTACTCTGTCACGACAAACTGCAAACGCCAAACCTCACAACACGGTGATGTCAGGCACACGGACCATTTGAGCTTTGCAAACCCTGATTGGCTGTTGTTTCATCATTTGGACCTCACCGCCACGCCCAAGCTACCAGACGCCCAAGTTGCGTAGCTCCGTCGATATTTTCCAGTCATCTACTGTGGTGTTTGAACATTCATTGAAGCTGTCGCCGCGATGACCGATACACCGCAGACCACGGCGGGTGCCAACCCCAAGGAAGCCAGGGTCCTAGAGCAGCATCTAGACCCGAGCTTCGACTTCTCAGAGTTTGACCCAGCGACGCCAGCGGCAGAAGAGGGCGCAGATAACGCCTCCAACTCGGGTGACCGCCAGCTTCCGGAATCATCGTTGCGATTACAGGGTGGCGACATCCACCGCGACCTGTACAAGATTGCGGCACAGAACAGACGGCAAAAGTTGCACCAACGAGCAGCAACCTTTTCTGATGCAGTTCACTTTGGCCGCAACCCTGCTCCGTCAATTTCAGACGTTGACCATGACGAGCTACCCGTTCGCGATCAGCTCGCGCCCGGCGGCCTGAGACGCCAATACTTACAACGGCAAAGCAAGCGTGTCAGCTACATCTCGGAACCTGTTACGCGAAACTTCATCTCGTTCCTTGAACTGTATGGCCAATTCGCCGGTGAAGATCTTGATGAAGATTCGTCAGATGCGGAATCTGCCGTTGAAGAGGAAGATGAGGCGCAAGGCGAGCGGAGACCACTTCTCGGACGCCGACAGAGCTCGAAGAGACTGAGGGCTCAGGGTGATGCGGACCAAGTCAAGACCTTCTTTACTCTCCTGAAGGCCTTCATCGGTACCGGAATCATGTTCTTGCCCAAGGCCTTCAAGAACGGCGGCATGCTGTTTTCGTCGATCACCATGATTATGGTTTCTGCCATTACAGCGCTGTGCTTCGAGTTGCTGCTAGCGACAAGGAAGAGATATGGTGGTGGTGGTTACGGTGATCTGGGTTCTATCGTCGTGGGACCGAGATTCCGTGCCCTCATCCTGGTCTCCATCACGCTTTCGCAAATCGGCTTCGTATGCGCTGGTCTTATTTTCACCGCGGACAACCTTCGATCGTTCCTGGATGCCGTCACTCATGCAGAGGAGCCCCTCTCCACCAATGCGCTCATCGGTATTCAGATCGCTGTTCTGATACCCATGTCCTTCATCCGAAACATCTCCAAGCTCGGACCCGCCGCTCTCCTCGCCGATGTCTTCATTCTCATCGGCCTGACGTACATCTACTGGTACGATATCTCATCGATCTCCAAGATGGGCGGTTTCAACCCGTCTATCGAACTCTTCAACCCCCGCGACTTTACTCTGACTATCGGTTCCGCGATCTTCACCTTTGAGGGCATCGGCCTTATCCTCCCCATCCAGTCCAGCATGAAGGAACCCGAGCACTTCAGCAAGCTCCTCTACATCGTCATGCTCATCATCACCGTCATTTTCACGTCCGTCGGTGTGCTCTGCTACGGAACCTTCGGCGAGAACGTCTCCGTCGAGGTCATCACCAACTTCCCCCAGACCAGCAAGCTCGTCAACGCCGTCCAGTTCCTCTACTCCATGGCCGTTCTCGTCGGCACACCGGTGCAACTCTTCCCTGCTATGCGTAACATTGAGCTCAAGATCTTTGGTCGCGCATCCGGCAAGCAGAGCAACATGACCAAATGGAAGAAGAACGCCTTCAGGACGTGTCTCGTCATTCTTTGCGGTGCCATCGCTATCCTTGGAGCTAGCGACCTCGACAAGTTCGTCGCGCTCATTGGAAGCTTTGCCTGTGTACCTCTGGTGTACATCTACCCTGCCTACCTGCACTACAAGGGTGTCGCCAACCGTCCTTGGGAGAAGTTCGGTGACATTTCCATGATGGTTATCGGTGTCGTTGCCATGGTGTACACAACTAGTATCACACTCGCAAGGTGGTCTGAGACGTAAGAACAGAAAGAGGGGTGATTGGAAGAGTACGGAAAAGTCCCTTTACAGTACGGTGGAAGCAGCGTCACTATTGCATAATTTGTTTCTCGCACGGCGTTCAGGTGGACGGGTGAATGGGATGTCTTTATATGGTATTTTTAACGCGCGCATGTTACAGTTACGTGTAACGATAATGGCATACTAGTACGATCTCGTGTCCCTGCATCTCCCCTGTGATGAGCTTTACAGCTCAGTTACCTCGCCTCCCCTCTCACAACCGCCTTACTACTGATCAACATTGAACGCTTCTTGCAAGCTACGCCAGAACGGGAATGCCTCTCTCGATACCCATAAGTCAAGTAGGCAAATAATGACACAAGCTGCGACAAACAGTATGAGAAGCCCGACGGAGATGTCGCAAAGGTACCGCCAGGCGACGATCATTACCATCTCCATTAGTGTCATATCAACATCATCAGGCTCAACGACACCGAGCCATGCATTCCGAGCCTCTATCTCCTCTCTTGTCATCCTCCTCTTAACTGCCGCTTCGGCTTTCTCCTCCTCCTTAATACTCCTCTGTTCCTCCCTCTCTACACCCCGCCAAATCTCCGCTAAATCCTCTAATCCTTCCTGCTTTATCTCAAACCACTTTGTCCGACACAGTGGACATTTATTACTATTCGGCATTCCTGATGCGAGCGACTTGCGCAGACATTGGTACCCGAAGATGTGGCCAACGCAATGTGGTGTGTTGGTGATGAGAACGGGTGCGTGGGAGCCGTGGAACGGGTCTTGGCAAATTCCGCATATTGTGCCTGGGGTGGGGTAGAGGGGGTGTGAGGGTAGGAGGGGGAGGAGGTTGTTGGCGAGGAAGGTGGGGAGGGTGGTTGTGGTGGTTTGGAATAGAGTGGGAGGTACAATACGCCTACGCTGACCTGGATTGGTTCTTGGTAAAGGGGTAGGGTCAAGGAGTGTTGCAGTGACGGAAGGGGGAAAGATTTCAGTTAATGATGGTGGGGTATAGTCTTCTGGTGACGCAGCGGGTTCTGATTGTTGTATGGGAGAAGACGGGCGGTATGGTTGGCTTGGGTCTATTCCTCCGAAGCGGTCGCGTCTGCCTCCTGGATAAAGATCAAGTGGTGAGATTCTCTCGTGATGGATCCAGTAGGGGCGGGTGGTCGGATGGCTTTCGCCTGTTTGGGGAGGGGGAGGAGAAGACATGTTCGCAGGTTCGATGGTTGAGCGCTGTGGTTGTGGTGGGGGATGGTTTTAGACGTTCTTTACGTTGAGAAATGTTCACTAGTGCGTGAAAATGGGCCATTGAATACACAGCCGCATGAAGAAATCTAGTCGGATGGCTCGCGCGCTGGCTTTCATTGCTTTGACCTACTGCCTACTTTACCGAACCACAAAGTCCCTTTCGAGTGATGAGAGCCTGAAGCTTAAGATTCACCTCAAGCTAATTTAAGTCTACCACATGAGTCGAGAAAGAGAGATACCCAAGCAACCAGCTACACGCGTCTAAACCGCGTTCTTCTCCACTTCTGCTCTCGGGTCATCGACAACCTCCCACTCATCGTCCGCGTCAATCTTGTCCCACTCCTCTTCGTCCGAGTCCAAGTTCAGCGTCTCGAACTGGTCCTCGGGAACTTCCTCTTCAGGGGCCTTGGGATTGTCCATAGCCAACACCCTGTCCAGCTCGGCACGGGCAGCGGGTTCCGTTTGCACCGAAGCGAGTTTCTCGACTGCGAAACGCGATTTGATGGGTTTTGTGGTCTTCTGGCTCCTGATGGGCAACTGAGTCCTCCTACCTTCCACATCAGAGGGGTTGAGGGAGTATGTCGGCACATCGCGTTTGGCAGGTGTTGTGGGGGTTGTGCTAGTCGTCGGTCGCGGACCAACCTTGCTCTGAGCGCGCTCCGCTTTCTTAGTAGAGGTCTCCGTCTGTGGTCCATTTCTGAGCATCTCCAAAAGCTCGGGGAAGGAGAGTCCGACGTTGCCCATATTTGCGACCATTTTGTCGATCTCTGCGTCAGTGTATTTTCGCTGGCGAAGATCACGGATAGTTGCCAGGCGTGCTCTGAGGCCTGGTGAGCCGTCGAGTTGTGTTGATTCGTAGCCAGAAGCCCGAGATATGGTTTTTGGTGGGGCTTGTATCCAGGCATCCGAGGCCGATTTGGGTGAAGTGTAGACACTAGGCTGGTAAGCTGGAGGCTCGTAAACTGTAGGCTTGAGAACTCTAGACTTGAGAGGTGTAGGCTCTCCGAAGACTGGCGGCTTATGTCTGTCACCAAGACTTCGAATTGGTAACGTAGTCCTTGATGTATCTTTGGAGGCGGAAGAAGGAGTGCTGAAATCGACATTTGTGTAAGCAAGCTTGGCGAAATGAGATCCATGTACCTCTCCCGTCTCCTGATTGATGGGCGCGATCATTTTCGCGGAGGTATTGGTAGTATTTGAAGAGGTATAGCCCCATGGCCAGGGCTGTGTGAGCCCGGGGAACCTTGCTTGGTCTGAAGTGCCGTCATGGTTGACAGTCATGCCCGCCGGAGCATGGGACATTGGGAACAAAGGAGGCTGGTCGGGTGTGGATACAGCCCCTGGTGGTTTTGTGGTTGATGCAGGCCGCGC